ATTCTTTATATATTAAAAATATTCTGTTATATATTAAAAAGTAAAATTTTATTAACAAGGTAAAATAAAGACTTTAATGATACAAATGTGATAATATAAACTAATCTCCTTTTCAAATTTCAAAAAATCAAGCTAAATTACAATTACATTATTAAAATGCATGAAACTTTTAATAATCTGTCGCGCGACAGATTGTGTATTAATTAAAAAGCGAAACTTTTTAAAATGAGCACATTGTAATCTTCCAAAATGAAGGCTTAATCTATCAAAATTTTCTGACGTTACATTACGTAATATTCCGAATTGAGATAGAAACGATCTCGCTAGTCGCGTCGCGCGAGAGAGGTCTGATTGCTCTTGACCCTCCGGGACTTACCTTGCCGCAGCGATGATTGTTTTATCCAGGAAGCCTGCTGCTCTTGCCTAATTATCAAGGTTCTTCAGCGAAGAGGATCCGATATCGAGACAGTATTGAAGGACGAGTTTTCACTTTTAGTCCAAGCCGGTCTCCTCTAAGCCGCACAGTTTCTTTCACACGCGACAACTCGCCGGCGTATACTGAATGCACGAGCGATTATCTTTGTTCATCTGGGTGGGACACGTGCATGAGCACGCGCCTCGGCGAATTTCGGCACTCTTTATAGAGAGAAAGAGTGTTCCCCTTCCGGGTGTACGGCCGGCGATCGATCCGCTTTTGCGGAGACGATCCCCGCCGAGGTGATCCCCTCGACGAGACGAGGATGAAATTTCGGGACGTACGCGGGATATCCACTGATCAGGAGGAAAGGCGACGCGTATCGCAGGCGCGGCTGAGTACAAGACGGTGGTCGCGCCTCGTCGCGCGAGACGTTGCGGCAGGTGCAGCCGCTGCAGCTGGCACGATCGTCGGCTTCATACTGAAAGGGAGAGATACGCACGGCAGGCACGATCCCGCCGCAGACTGCCGCCGTACGAGCAGCTACGAGAAACTGGCTGACTGGCTCTGCCGCTGCCGCCGCTGACTGTTCCGAAAACTCGCAGCAGCGCCGGTCTCTCCTCTCTGTTTCTCTCCTCGAATCTCTCTCTTCGTCCTCTCGCTCTCGTCCTCTATCACCGCTCTACCCCTTGGCTGCGTGCGTTTACCATTCGTGGTGGGGTTCTATTCTCCGCCGAAGGAGTAGGGGTCATCTTTCTCTCTCTCTCTCTTTCTCTTTTTCTTTCTCCTTCTTATTTTCTTTCTTTCTGTCTGCCCCAATGCAGGGATCTCTCCTCCTTCTTTGTATGGAATCGCGAACGGGTCCTGGAGATATTTTTGGATTTTTCTTTCGATACGTTGTCCTGCGCCTTGCGAGGAGTCACCCGGTTTAAGACCCGTTCGGAGGGATCCTCTCGATAAATTTTCACCAGAGAAATAGCTGCGACAACGTCGAGCAAATTCACTCCGCGATTCCTTGGATTTATATATATAGGAATCGAATTGTAGAATAAAATGTGTGTATTATAGATATATATTTTAGCGTTTGAACTTTCTTCTTTGTTTCAATTATATATCTCAATTTAATTATCTAACAATTTTTAACACTGTTGCTAAGGAGGAAATCGCATTTTTTCAATAGTATTCCTCGCGGTCCATTCCAGCATATACAACGAGATATTGCATGGAATCTTGACAAAGAATTTCTCTCTGAAAACTAAGAAAGTCCGTATTTTATAATAAGCAGATATCGAAAAATAACACTTATAAATATATATATATATATCTCGATTCAAATTATTTTCATATTTTTATTTCAGGCAAAATACAAAGATATAAAGCTTGTAGGAAAAAAGTTGCTCGAATCCACGAGAGATTTGATCTCGCGACTTTTGGAAAGCGCGAGGAATGAAAAGAGTTTTACCTTCACATTCCTGAATATTCATTGACACTTGCAGGTGCATAAATGCACAAGAGTCACCGGCGAGAGTCACGGTAGAATTTCCACGTATCCGTTTTGTCTTTTCTGGTCCTAGTCGGACGGACATCGTGCTCTCGAGCCCGACGCGACGCGTTCCGGTAGGTCGGTGACGCCAAGAACCGGACCGGCTGCAAAAACGATTACGTTTCGAGAAGAGTGAGAGGGGGTTTGGGGGAAAGGGGAAGGCAGAGAGAAAGAATGGCCGGAGATTACCGGCAGGTCCTGGACCGTAAAGACGCCCGGTCGCATCGCCGAATATGGCCGAAAACATCCATATGTAAGTGCGCCCGGTAACAAGTTATAAATCGAGATGCGAAAATTATTAGACAAAATCAGATTATTTTTTTAAAAATACGACAATTAATTTTTTCATGCTGTGACACTCTATAGATGTAAAACGTGATACGTACAAGAAAGGATTACAATACAGTAACTTTCAAGTGCTAAAAACGTCCACATCTTTGCGAAATTGACCTTTATTTCAATCGGCTAAGTCTTTATAAAGTTAATTGGAATAAATGTTAATAAATGTTTCTTTCAATAAATATCGTAACAGACATTAAAAAATATTTCTTAATTTACGTAGAGAAATGAGAGGATATAGAAATATGGAATATCGTTTAGAATGAACTTGAGGTATTTTACAGATGAAGGATGTGAGGCTTTACTGACAGGAAGAACAATAGAACGTGAAATTATTTTGTATTGGTCTCATAATTTTCACAGTATTGTAAAATAATTAGACCGATTCTCGATGGCAAGGGCGGCTTTTAACATCCTCGTGGACGTTAGACCACTTTGCACTTGCGAGGCAACGGTAATTAACGATGCTTGAGCTCATGTACTTTCATAAAGTCCGGAACTTTCTAATGTGCTCGATAAGTATCTCTGTTTAAGCGTAACGGGGTTACGTTGCTTCAATGCGCAGATTTTTTTTCTAAGAATCTTTTTCATCTTTCGAAATTAAAATATCCAAGAAAGCTGTGCTAGAAGAGCTACAACTTTTTCCACATTGTATTTTAATTGCAATTTGATATTTGATGACTTGACAAGACCCTTAAATTGTATATTCATAGATTAATTTATATCAAATTATATATATATATGAAACACATCGACAAAGAATTAAGAATATTATCCATTTACTACATATTTATTCCCTGTTTTTAACGTCGCGTAATGTTAATTAGTTGTAGTGGATTTTTTTTAGAAACATGCTATCTATGCTTTAAAGATTAACGAAAAACAGATCATTTCTCTGATAACACTTTTCAACTGAGATTTCTCTTCGGCCCGGCGGAGATTGCGAAAGATAAAGTATTCTCCAGGGGCGTGTGTACGAGCGTGTGTATCATTGAATGGACACCCTCTTCGCGTCTTCCAGCCCTTCGCAATCGTGCAACAGCTCGACCGAACGACTTTCCTTTAAATCGGTGGGACGTTTTACGTGCCGTAGATTGACATTTACAGTGAAATCCCGAGCAACGGGCGCAGCTGGTTTACCATTCGCTCAATGATGCCTTAAGGATCTACGGTACCGTAGCTGGAACCTGTTTCTCTTGTTCCTGGTTGCACTGGCTATATTTATACGCATTTGCGCGCGTGCGTCTACGCATACACGCAGCGCATATCTCGTACAAATTGAATCGCAACTAATTATGAAATATTACCGATGTGCCGCTCCGTTTCACGCTGCGACACGTGATTCACCATCTAACTAACGTGCACAATAGTACAGAAATAAAAATTTTATCTCTTATATAAATCTGAATTTATAAAGTTTGAGAAAGAGAAATATATATTTTTATAGAATATTTTAGGAAAATAAAAAAGGCGCTGAAATAAATATCTCAAGGTTTTAGATTCATGAGAGATTTTTTAAAGAGAGATAAGACTTTTTTATATAGATCTCACATCAAATATATAGATAATCTCAAACTTTTGCAATCCTTTTGTAATACACAATAATCGTAGATTGAACACTACATCTACACATATATTATGCACGCGTCTAGATGAAATATTTTTATCTTTTTGAATCAACCGGATTTCATTTCGCACCGTTGCGCTCAGGTTAGTTCGGCAACAATGAAATCAGAAGTGATTTCTACCTTACCTTTTACGATCAGGTATCCCGTCGAGGCATATCGCGGGGGCCGTTTGGGAAACTGCAACCGGTGCAACGCGCGCCCATTTTAACACTCGGAGATTCACACGTGGCGGCGGACCGGGCCCTCGACTTCCTGTCGACGATCGAGCAAACAAGTCGCACGATATAACGCAAACCGGATACGGAGCTGCGTAATTATACATTGGCCGCATTTTTACGCCTTTATCATACAAATGCGTTAAGCGGTTCTTAAGTCGCCCTTGAGTATGCCGCGGAAGTGTAAAATTAATTCGACGTAAAGAAAAACAGAATTATTCTATACGGTACAATTGCATGCAATCTATTAATGTTCAAATCTACATAACGGTTTAGTATTTACCAAGGTTTAATATTTAATTTTATACTCTTTTCGTATTCTTGAAGGGGAAATTTTTATCTGTATCGATTATATATGCGTTTATTCTTTTGCTCAACTAAAAACTACTACATGAATTTAAATAAATCATGCTATGAACACATAATGCGATGTAAATACTAATAATAAATATCAATTCATAAATTTTATAATTGAAGATTTTAGTAATTATTTATATGTAGATGTATATAGTTTCACATTCTGATAAAATTATCATTTTTGTGGAAGGATAATAGAATCTCATAAGTGTTATAAGAATTTTCCATTATCCACCGCTAAATATACAGATAAATTTTTACAAGAAATAAATTCTCTCGATTATTTCTTTATCCTTTTTCAAAATTACTCAGGACAAAGATATTTAATTTTATTAAATTATATGTTCTTTAATATTGATATCCACCATTACCATTTTGTCTGTTACTTCCGATATCCGCGTTGCCACCGATATTGTTGCTAGGAGCATTGGAAAAGTATCCGCCTCCACTCAAGTTATTATCATTATCTCGGCTAAAAGATTGTCCTGCTGCAAAATATAAAACGATTTTCAACCAAAAATTTCACAAAAACAGATAAAATATATATGTAATTAAATGTATATTGCTTAATTTATTATTTCAATGAAAATTATATATTCTCTCTCTCTCTCTCTGTTTTCTAAATTATTTCATTAAAGGAAAAAATAAAAATTATAGTACACTTAATTTCTTATATAGGATTACTAAAAAATTATTTTTTAATATAGAACTTGTAAATAGAATTTAGATTACATTTTATTACAAAAGTTAAATTATTCTTTAACACAAAATGTCTTCTTTCAAAATTGTCATTTGTTATTCGCATCCAACCGAATGAAAAACGACGCAATCTTATCACACCTGACTTTCCCGATTGATAACCGTTGCCGCCTCCTCCATTAAATCCATTGGACTTTCCCTGGCTGGGACCACCGTTTGGATAACCATTATTACCACTTCCATTAAACCCCGAATTATCTGCAAAGCCGCCGCTTTTGCTATCCGGTCTACCAGAAGAATAACCATCGTTGTTACCATTCGGTCCGCCGGAATTGTATCCTCCACCCGTATTTGCTTCGCCTTCGTATCTAATTTGCGGTTTAAATCCATCCTGATCAGCCTCATACTCGACGATCTGTTTTCTACCATCTGGAAGTAAAACGTTGAACTCGCCTTGAGCGCGATCACCGTTTCTAGTTTCCGTGTGGCCGTAATTGCTGCCGGATTGCTCATCCTTTACTTCGTACGAAAATTCGTATTTTGCTGGCTCCTAAAAATTAAAAAACAGAGACAAATCACATACACATCTAAAATAAATGTGATTTAATAAAATTATTTAATAGAAATATTGACGGGATAAATATTTCTGTAGAAGATTATTTTGTGATTCGCCTTGTATTAATTGTCGTATATCCGCCTTTGATATACTCAATTATTTTAATAAGATATACTTACGGTGCTTTCTTCTTGTGCATTATCATTGTAACCTCCGCTTTCTCTTCCTCCATTTTTGAAACTTCCACCTCCGTTCTCAAAATTTCCTGCCTGTCCATTTATACCACTTCCAGATGGATAGCCATTAGCATTACCGTTTCCGAAACTCTCATCATTTCTAGTTGGACTTTCAGATGGATAGCCATTGTTTCCATGTCCATTTCTATTAGGTGGACCGTAACTGCTTGATAATCCTCCGTTGGCACCGCCAAATCCGTTTATTCCATTTGTTTTAGGTACGTTCGAAGATTCATAACTGCTCGCTTTTCCACCATTATTTCCGCCATTGAAGTGATTTTTTCCGTTCGTATTTCCATTTGCTCCAGGTACTCCATAACTACTAGAAGGCCTTCCATTGCCATTGTTTCTATCAGAACCACCCCCATGATTTCCATTCCCATCAGGAACACCGTAGCTAGTCGATGGTCTCTCTCCATTGCCCCCGTTCTTGAAACTGTCTCCGTTGTTTCCATTCGTACCAGGTACGCCATAATTAATCGATGGTTTGTCTCCATTGCCGCCGTTTCGAAAACCACCTCCATTGTTTCCATTCGCAATAGGAACTCCATAGCTACTCGACGGTTGTACATTACCGCTGTTTTCACTAAAATCTCCAAAACTTGAAGCACTATAAGAGTTAGAGGATTGTCCATTCCCAAATCCGTTTCCTCCAGATTGACCTAGACCATTTACGCGAGCATTTTCCCCGATGGGTGCACCATAAAGTTTCGACGGACCATTACCTGCGCCATTATTAACACTACCCCCATTACCAAAATCCGGCGTTCCATACTGGGTGGATAAATCGGCTTGACCGCCATTCACACCAGAGATTCCTGTTCGTGGAGGTAGATACGAATTGACCGGAGGTTCCGAGCGCGTCATCGCCAGCATCGTGATGAACGTCGTTATACCGATCTGGAATAAGAATTTCATGCATTATTATGTAGATGTAAACAAATCTTGGAAAATTTTAGAACGCGTATTATGTAAGCTGTAATAAGATTATATCAGCAGTAGACAATCTTCCAAATTTTTTTTTTAATTATAAAGAATTTCTCATATTTTTTAAATATTTTCTGTTTTTAGAAATTACATGATTCTTGCCATAAAATTAATCTCAATATAGTGAATTTATATGATGTGTGTATTTTATTATAATGTATTACGTAAACACTTTTATATAATTTTTTGCTACGATAAAGTCATAATTATATATTAATTAAAAAATATATATCTATTTATAAAACATATTTATAAATTTGTCGAAAGATATAGCACTTATTATTAATACCAAAAACAAATATATATTTTCATGAATTTGTGATTGATTTTTCCTCTCATCGGCAATCATTTCTAAATTACAGATATATCCCAAAAAAATTCAAAAGTTGATTAATTCCAAATTTTATGAGCACTAGAATCAGAATGTACGTTTATCATTTCTTCTCACACATATTACCTTAAACATATTGAGGACACTCGATGCTTTCCAGCGATAGAAAAAACGAATTTTTGTTACTTTATCTCTCCGAGGGAGAGTCGTTCTCCCTGCTCTCGTTACTACCCTTCCAGCACAGGATAGTCTCGAGGGAATGACAAACATGGGGTCCGCTTCGCTCTTTATATATCCCGGGACTCATCCGCGTTTCTAGATCATAGTTTGGTGCAATCGGTAAGATTTACAGCAACAGTTCGATGCAAGTGTGTCACGAGATGCCACGCGGAATCGACGGTGACGATGGAAAAGAGCCAGATCGGCGTACAAGTAAGCGTAATCACGAGCAGATTCGCGCTCTATATCTCTCCGATCGCGATTCTCGAGTCGCGGTATTGCGCCGGCGAATCGTTAACACATAATCATCTTGAACGTCTCTAAATTGTCTCGCGTGAAGCTTTTAACAATCCTTGACATATCACTCTATAACATCGCCTCTCTATAAACTATAAGAATGTACTTGACTACATGTTCTAAGATTCTTAACGTAAGAATTGAGAAACCGCATAATAATATCAATGTAAAAAGCTTTATCGAGTGACAAACAGAAATGTATAATAAGATTTTTAATATTGATACAAAAGTTGCGTAATATAAAATTAAAACTATGGCACAATGTCTGACGTATTTAATTGATTATGACATACATAACTATATTCTGTTACTCAATTTCTAATAATTTTGCAGGGGGAGCAGAAGAAAGGCCTTAATGCCGCGATCGACGTGTCAAGATGCCGTTGATGTACACGTGAAATGTCCTCCAATTATAAGAAGCCTAAACAGCCGCGGCTTCTCCGTCCGCGCGTAGAGCTGATGCAATAAACCCGCGTGATGCAAACTTGCATAATGTATCTCTGTCTCATCCAGCCAACCACACTGCCATCACTTGCATGCGAGTGCTTGGATTGCACAAATTTTACCCGGACAAGATATATTCAGACGTTTGTATATAGAGCATTAAATAAGTATGCAACTACGCTTAAAATGATTATCACGCATTTAATTTTCTCAATTTAGTTTTCTTATGTGATTTTAGCTTATTTTATTCTGATTAATATATATTCGATTTGAATCGTGTGATATGTAAATCATGATGACTTGTAAATTAGATTTCTGTAAATAATAATGAAAATTTATATCAATATAAGATTTAGTAACGTAATTATATTAAACGCAAGCAATATATGTGCAATTTTATTTCTAAATTAATTCTTGACTAATTCGAGTAATTTATTATGATACAAAAAAAAATTCGTCTCCTTGCATAGATATGATTATCTCTAACTCTGTCTCTACTATAATGTAAAACGGGGTTAAAATAAATGAATAAAATATCGTATATCTATATCTATAAAATAAAAGAATGTGTGCATAAGTTTGTACACTCTTCTTTCATCCGCTCGATCGTTCGATTACATTTTATGTTGAGCAGGTACGGTGGATGCAATCCCCTTGTGCGAATACATGTCGAGAGATGTTTTGTATGGAACACGATTCTTCTCTAGATACATATCTCTTGGTACGGGCTCTGTGTCATCAGTGTAAATAAGAACGCACATATGTATAGCCGCTTTATACTAGCATACAAATTTCTACACTGCGTCTCGATCGTCATCAATTATCCATGTTATATGCAATGCTAAAAAGTTCTCACGCTAAATTTTATCACGACTATGCTATGGTCTGAGAATGCAGATGAAAAAAAAAAAATTGTATCGAGAAATATATGTATATATTTTTTTCAGAAAAAGTAATTAATCTTTTTTTTTTATATATATATAAAATAATGTGTGAATCACTGGATATTTTTCTTAAATACGTAAAAGTGCATTTATTGTTAATGATTTCAATCACAAAAACCATTTATATTTGCTCTCGGTTGCGCGTTTAACAAAAAGAGACGAAAATGCATACATTCTCCCTGATTCTTTATGCATTCTCGCGCATCCTTGTTACATATATATCGCGCAGTTTCGCACGTGAGACGTGAGGATGTATTCATGCATAATTCACAGAACTTTCTTCATCCATATGTCCGAGATATTAAAAATAATCTCATGCCGTAATGTAAAGAAAAATTTATAAAAATATGAGATTTATATAATTATATATTAAATTTTTTTTTTTTTTTATATATAATGCATATAGATGTATATGTTATGTGCTATGTGCTATGTTCCTCTTATGACATTCCTATCTGGATAAAATGGCCGCGAAGTGGAAACATCGTCAAGTCAAGATAAATAATATCTTACTTTACAATGGTTAGAATAAACGTTTATAGATTTTTATACGCGTGCACACTAATTATCTGTAATCTCATACATTCCATAATTCGTTTAATACAATATATCGAGAGATTAGTCAATGATTGGAATAAGAAATATAGATCTGTCAAGATTGTGCATCGCAGTGAGAACTTTTTAGTAGTCAATAAGCCCTACGATATGTATATAAATAGTGATAATCCTGACAGAAAGGTGAGGACATACTTGTTTGACGCGCATGCATAAAGTATTCTTATATTAATTAGATATTACGTTTTCAGAATACTGTCCAGTTAGAATTGCGAAAAATGCTACCAGACTTGGTTAACCCAAAACTGCGCCACGAATTTTATTTCGTGCATCGACTGGATTATCCCACAAGTGGCATCATGTGCATAGCATTAAATAAGAAGGCAGCTAGAGCAGCATCGTCTGCTTTTGAAAATCAAAAAGTACAAAAGTTTTACTTAGCATTGGTACATGGTCATATATACGAACCTCACATCATAATCGATAAGCCTATTGGTTAGCAATTAGAGTAATAGAGTGCAATAATACTGGAACAGGATTAAAATAGGCAATAGTTTTATTAATTTATTTTATCTTTTTTTTATAACTAGGTGATGATGTCCGTGAAAAGAATGGCAATCATAAAATGTGTACAAATGATAGTATCTTTTGTGAAAAGCCACGTAACTCTTACACAGTACTAGTAGTGTTAGAACATGGATTTTGGAAAACCAAACCTGCTACTAAAATATTGCTAGCACCCAGCACAGGTAGACGACATCAATTGAGAGTACATTGCCATTATATTGGTCATACAGTTATAGGAGATTATACATACAGTGATGGCAAAGATATACAGCCTCATAGAACCTATCTTCATTCTCTCAGGTAAAATTTATATAGAAACTCACTGTTTGAATTGTATAATTATTTTGTATAATTATTACTAATGCTGCCTTTACTTTTCAGGTTAATATTAAACTGTGATATTGAAAATATAGATGTAAAAACAGTAGATCCATTTAATGCTTCAATATTGTCTGATTATAAAGCGACAAATGTAATAAAAATCTTGGATGAAAATATATTTCACGATATAAGTAAATTATTGGAATAAAATTGAGAAGAATTTTTGTTATATATGATGCACAGATTTATTGAGTCACTTTGACTCCAGATTTGCTCACTATGAATTGAAAAGTAATTCTTGGCAAGTGCGATGCTAACATTATACAAGCATATCGCGCGAAATTTGTTCTATAAAAATATATGGAAGAGGTGATCATACTTGACCAAGTAAATCCTAAAGCTGGTTGTTCAATTGCATCTTCAGAAATAATACTATGATTATCTATAACTGCAGAAACCTAGAAATGTATAAAAATTAAATTTGACATCTATAATAATTGTTTTAATATTTCTTTACCTGATTAATGCAGATCACACACAAATCATCATTTTTACAAAGTTCATGTAATTGTCTTCCAACATTCCGCTTACTTCTGCCTTGCAGCTGATCTTTCCAGTCTTCTACTCTATAAGGGGCTGCTATTGAATCAATGATTAATAATCCTATTTTATGAATATTCATCAGTGCTGGAACTTTACGCTGCAGACATACTTCTAAT